GCATCTCCTGGGCACCCCTTTCCTGGGCACCCCTTGCACAGGCATCCCCTTCCCGGGCATCTCCTGCATACCCCATGCATGGGGATCACCTTCCTGGGCATCTCCCAGATACCCCTTGCATGGTCATCTCCTTCCCAGACATCTCCTGGGTACCCCTTGTATGGGCACCCCTTGCATGGGCATCCCCTTCCTGGGTATCTCCTGGACACCCCATGCATGGGGATCACCTTCCCGGGCATCTCCTGGGCACCTCTTTCTGGACACCCCCTGCACCTACAGCTCCTGGGCATCCCCTTCCTGGGCACACCCTGGGCACACCCTGCATGAGCATCCCAAGTGCAGGGACTCCCTGCACCAGCAGCTCCTGGGCACACTCTTCCCAGATATCCATTGCATGGGAATCTCCTGGACACCCCCTGAACAGGTACCCACTTTCTGGGCAGCTCTCCCAGGCATCACCCCCTGCTTGAGCAGGAAAACGTTTTGGGGATCCCTCCTTCCCTGCTCTGCAGTCAGAGTCCCAAAGAAAGGGATTCCAAGCTCAGACTCCTCCTCCGGCTGCTTCTCCCAGTCCCAAAAACAGCTGCAGGAGGATTCCCCCATCCAGCTCCTGGGATGGGACTATCACTCACCCCACTAACCTCAGCACCAGCTCTGAGCATCAACCACCTGTGCATGCACAGGGCTCTGAATCCCTGATGTAACCCCCTTGCAGGAGGGCTGAGGCCAAGCTGGAAACATCCAGCATCCTCCAGTGTCCACTCAGCTCCTCCCTGTGCACACAAACCTGGGTCCAACACTTTTCCTGGGCACTTTCCCACTGCCCAGGTTTGGTTTCCAGCATCAGAGCAGCCCCTGCTCCTCCTGCCATCTGTATGATGTTCACTGAGCTGTGCAGACAGGATTCCCAAACTCCCACTTTCTCTACCTCTGTGCCTATTCCTCCTGTTACTGTGAGACTTACCCAGTGCTGGTTCCATGAGAGATTCACAGGAGGAGATGATGGGAAGTGATGATGGAAGGAACTGAAGAATGACCTCCATGGGCTGGGATCTGGAATCACCCTGTGTGCTCAGCCAGGGTCACCCCTGCAAGGCTCTTCCTTTGCTCAAGTCAGTCTGGAGCATGTTGAATCCTTTGTCACATCACTTGAAGTCCATGGGTGGTGGGTTTAGCTCTCCCTGGCTGTGCCACGGTGCCACACACCCACCTTGGGTGCATCTTCTTGGAGCTGAGCAATGCCACCTGAAGACATCAGGAATTGGGTACCAAGATGGACATTTCCTAAAAAAAAATCCTGCTGGGAATGGAGGATTTAAACTGAAATAGCTCATGGCATATGCTTGATGTCTGCTTGAGCACCAGCAGAATCCCTGAGCACCCAGTGCTGAGCACTTGCTGCAGTGCTGGTGTTCCATCCGTGCCAGCCTCACCTGCAGAACAGCCCCAGCTGTTTGGTGAGAAGTCTGCATCCCCCAATTTCATTCTCCACTCTGTTTAAACATGGTATTTGTGATGAAGCCACGGCTGCACGTTGCCTTCTGCTCCAAGGTTTGGTTATGGTGTGACCAGGAGGAGCACTGTGATGCCATTTGTCCTTGATTGACTTCACTTTGCACCTCCAGGAAGGAAAAGAAACAGAGTATTGATTATTCCTCAGTCACATTGAAACAAAATATATGGTGCTGATAAACAGGTAAAACCTCTGGAGAAGCACACACAGGCTGAGGTGACACTCAGCTTCTCCTGCCATTGGTGCTGCAAATTGGATAGATCATCAGATGGCACTTGCCAGGGCTGGTGTGTTTTGTCAGGTTGCTGATTTGCTGTAGGCATGGAGGAATTTCTGCCTCACCAGAAGCTCATGTTCTCTCCAACGTGATCATGGAAAGAACCATCCCTGTAACTTCCAAGAGTGAAGGGCAATGTCCTCGCAGGTCTTGGGAACTCATGGCTTTGTCTGCCAGTCCATAGGTTCAACAAAGCTGCTGGTGGTGGTGAGGACTGAAGAGCAATGTCCACAGCAGCTCCACATCCAGTGCCAGGAAGGAGAGGGTCAGAGCTGAGTGTCGTGGACATCCTCTCCTCAGTGTGACAGCACATTTCTCCAGCACCTGTAGGTCTGACTGATGGCAGAGCAGCTTGCAGAGCAGCAAGATGCTCCTCTTGAGTGGAACAAACTGTAGCCTAACTCCAAACCTCCAGCACAGCATGTGTGTCTTCATTCCTGCAGCCAGAGATGGACACCAGCTGGATGGGGACTCTGCCAGCTCGTGTAGTGGTCCCAGGATACGTCCCATGTGGATCCTCAGAGCCAGGGGAGCAGGGCAGAGTGTGTCCTGCCTCCACAGAGCTGGCTGTGAGCTGCCTGCTGCCCATCACCGTGCTGTTCCCTCCAATCCAATCAGGACCAGGAGTTTGATTGCAGGATGCAGAACCAGCTGGAGAGACTGATGGGGCTGCAGGAAGGAAACAGCAAAAAAAAAACCCAAACCCATCCACACCTCTTCAAAACCAAAAAAAGAAAAAAAAAACCTTAAAAACTCTAGAGCTTATTTTTATCCTTGAAGGAGCAGCTTCAAAACCCCAAGCTCAGGGCTCTGGTGGCCTGAGCTCAGCATCACCCCATGCTGTGCCCCCCCAGCCCAGCAGTGAGCTGAGAGCCAGGGCAGCCCTGGGGCTATTTATAGCAGGGTAGAACTGAACCCTGTTTTTAGATCATTATGCCTTTTGCAGAGAGCTGTTTTTACAGTGAAATATTTCAGGAATCCTGAAGGAAAAGGAGGCAGAGAGAGCTGTATTTTGGGTTTAAAGGCTGGGAAGGGGTTGGCTCACCCAGGGCAGGGACTATATGGATTCAGGGCTGGGAACTGCCTCCCCTTGCATAACCACTGCATTTTTTTCCCCACCAGTAATCCCTTGCTCACTGCCACCCCAGGAGGACAGCCTGTGTGTATGGGAGGCAGGAGAGCAAATATGGTAAAATATTTGGGCAGCTTCCCCAGGGAAAAAAAATCCTGAGTCATTCTCCTACATCATGCTGGGGTTTGTTGTCCCTGGCTGTGGTGAGGGTTAAGGTTGTCCATGGGAAACCTGGAGCAGGGCAGTGTGATGGAGGGTCAAGGCACATCTGATGGAGCTGATGGCATTCCAGGGCCACATCCTTGTGCACAGGGTGGGCAGACAGCTTGAGCAAAGAGCTGGATCAGGAGGGAAATGCTCCAGCATCCTCCTCCCTGATCACAAACACATGAGCTTTACAGGCCCAATCCAAGAGAAATATAAGCAAAAAAGACAAGCAAACTGGGCGAGGGAAAGGGCTCTCCTGACCTGCAGATACATCATGTTTCTCCAGTTCCTAGATTTCTCCCAGAGTGCTACTGAAACATGTCCTTCACTTCCAGGAGGGTTCATCCCTTGCTCTTTGTTAGACTGGACTAACCATACTGTTTAGCCTGCTTGGATGGAGAAGGATGATGGAAAAATCCCAACCAAACCCCAACTGCTGGGCTGAGCAGGGAAACAAAAACCTGCCACCACCCAGAAGCTCTTTGCACCACCAGTGCCAGATCCTTGGCTGATAAATGCCTCACTGCATGGTCAGCACCCACTTGCTGCAGGAAGTGTTTCCCAGTGTTCTGCTCAGGCTCTGGATGGGAGTTTGGCCAGCAATGTGGTAGTTCCCTCTCTCCAGCCACTCTGTGCCAGCCTTGGTTAATATCCCACTCCTTATCAGCCCCCAACTCCTGTTTGCTTTCATGGGTGTATCCTGGCACTTTGAGTGTAAACTGAACTTCGTTTTCCTTTTATCAGGATTGGCTACTCCATGCACAGCCTGGTCAGTGTTAATGAGAAACTAATGCTCTGTCCTCTGCCAGGTGACCTTCCAATAAGTGACCTTCCAGTTCCAAAGTGTGGGTCCCAGCCAGGGAGGTCTCAAGGCTGGAGGAAAATGCTGAATGAGTAGGAAGGTGGTTTTGGGTTATTACTGAACTTGGGAGACTCCTTCAGCTCCACCTGCCTAGAAAGGACTGGATGAGCCTTGATTTTAAGATATGATGGGCAAGACACTGCTGAATGGCTTCCTGCTCACAGAAGGCAACACAATTTGTGAGACCTTTGACCACCTCAGCCGTCTCTCCCTGCCTCAGTTTCCCCTTGGGTAGCACCCAGAGTCTTTATCCATCCCATGCCCCTCCAGCTCTGCTCCTGGCACCCTCCCCACTCCTCAACAGCCTCTGGGTTGGGAGCAGTAAGGGTTTCCATCCCATGGCTCATCACTCCATAACTACTCTCTTCCAGGAGGCACAAGCTTTACAGGGAGGAGCTCAACCTGACCTCCCCAGCAGCACCACTGCCACTCCGACCAGATGCCAGCTGGCTCCAGTTCCACCTGGGAATCAGCCAGGATGGGCTCTACCCTCGTTCCAGCTCTGCTGTCAACAGGCTGCTCCGGGACATGCAGGAGTTCCCCACCATCAGTGCTGGTAAGTGCCCTCCTGCCACGGGAACTGGGATGGGGCTGGGGTCTCCAGCCCCCATAGGCTCCCTTGGAGCCTGGGAGGGGGGTGAGCAGCCAGAGATGGAGCTCAGCAGGGTCTCACCACTCCTCCTGCCCTTGCAGACTACAGCCAGGATGAGAAGGCACTGCTGGGAGCCTGTGACTGCAGCCAGAGTGAGTGTGACTCTTTGGGCTCATCCATCAGCTGACCCCAATCCTCACCTCCTCCATCCTAGTGTCAGTCAGGGAAATGCAAAACCAGGCAATGCCAGGCCCTTCTCCTTCCCATTAAACCACCCCACCCCAGCAGAGGCTACATCATAGGCTCATTAAGGTTGGAAAAGCCCTCTAAAATCATGAAGTCCAACCACTCCCCCAGCACTGCCAAGTCCAGCAGTAACCCATGTCCCCACGTGCCACATCTAAATGTTTTTGGAACACTTCTAGGGATGGTGATTCCATTACTTCCATGAGTAGCCTGTTTGATATGGGTACCAGGACACTGGTACACCACTGGTTTATACTGGGGGGAGGAAAAAGGAGGCAACAACCCCAAGGGGATGTAACCAATGTCTGTTTGGAGAGGGGCTGAAAGGAAATCTCTATGGCACAAGGGAGAGAAGGGAAATAACTGGATGCACTCACCAGGGTGGAAAGCTGAGTTGTGCTGGAGTGTGTAACTGGGGAAGCTTTCCAGGTAGCTTATGTCCTGTTTCCTTCTTCCCAAGTCGTGAAGCCCAGTGGTGTGCACCTGAAGCTGGTCCTTAGGTTCCAGGATTTTGGGAAGGCCATGTTCAAGCCCATGAGGTAAGGCACACTGGCAGAGCCAGCACTCTGCAGCCAGAGCTGTGAGCATCCTTGGCACAGCCAGCCACACACAGCCACAGCTTCCCTCTCCTGCACAGATGAGAAGCTTTCATTATTCTTGGCTGCTCACACCATGCCAGGAACACACATGGATAAACACCAGTGTTCCCACACTGCTATTGATGTTGGAAATTTCTCATTTCATACATGCCAGACAGGGAAGGACCTTGGGACACTTGTTCTCCTGAGAGCTTTGCCATTAGGGACTGCTCATTTCCTCCTCTTCCCCAGGTGACTTTAGGCTTTACCTTGTTCTTCCTTGGATTCCCCAGAGCGTTGCCAAGGAACAGCCATCAGTCCTACTTACCTGAAACAGGAGCTTGAAACTGCTTTTCCCCTTGGGACTCTTCACATCTATTCCTCCTCACTTTGCTGTCTGTGCATGGGTAGGGCAGCAGGCAGCACTGATTGGGATGGTTTGATCATCCAGCTCCTCTCCTGTTGATTTCCATCCACCTCTGCGTGGTGTCCCTCAGCTCCCAGAGGGGAAAGAAATCTTCCATACACTCAGCTGAGTTCTCAGGAGGGCTCTGCAATGTCCATGAGCTTTTCTGTGATGTATAACAACTTGGGAGGCTGAGCATGCAAATTCACATGCTGCTCATTGTGGAGCACGGTGTGACAGCCAGAAAAATGAATTCAATGAGTGGTGTTCTCACCTCAAGGGTGTGAGAACATCAAACCTGAGCCCTTCTCTGCCTCTCTTGAGGAGCACAGCAGAGCCACCAGCATCCCCTAATGCTGTACCCACCCAAAACAATGTCCTCAGGGGGTCTAAACTCTGGCACAAGCAGATTTAAAGCCCAGTGGCCTTGGCACTGGTGTGGCCACAGGACAGCAGTCCCTGTGCCACCACTCTGCCCAGGCTGCCTGCCAGCTTGGCTGAGTTCACCCCCTGCCCTCTCCCCCAGGCAGAAACGTGAGGAAGAGACTCCTGAGGACTTTTTCTACTTCGTTGACTTCCAGCGGCACAACGCGGAGATCGCTGCCTTCCACCTGGACAGGTAAGGACCTGCCACAGCTCCTGCCTCCTCCTGCTGCCAGCACACACTCCTCTGCCCACTGAGCAGCCACGCTGAGCCCTGCAGAGCTGCTCAGCCTCGGAGAAGGGATCACTCTGCAGTGCCCTTTGGGAGCTGATGTGTTGTCTGGGGATGAAGTGGTTCTGGCTCTCACCTGGCACCCAGGAGTCAGCTCTGCCTTGGCCACTGGCATGAGAACAGCTGAAATCCAGGTTGGAACAGGTCAGATATTCCTCTGGCTGTCACACAGCCACATGCACATCATCCTTCCCATGCATCCAAGCTCTGGGTGCAGCCTGGATGCTCTGCCAGGGAAGGAGTCACACGCTCAATCAGCAATCAAGGTGTGTTTGGGATTGAAATAAACTGCAGAGATGCAGTTTTAAGCCCTCAGCTAATGAGCAATTAACCTGGCACCTCTTCCCAGCAGGGATTGTATTTAATACAATCAAAAATACCCTTCTCAGATGATGATGGCAGCAGCCTTCCTCCCCTCATCAAGGAGAGGAACATCAGGGAAAGGTGATGGTGGATGAGGGTCTCCAGTTCTTTTAGGATAAGCAGGACTAGACTAAGTCCTGTAGCTCAAACTCCAAGCAAGGGAACCAAGAGAGCTGAATTCCTATATCCCAGCAGTGACTCTGCTTGAGTCAGCTACCACCAGTTTGCTTCTCTGCAGCTGCACAAAAAATGAGGCCAAACTGCTTTTCTGAAGTGCTTTGTGGTTTTTAGAGCTGAAAGATGCTAGATGAAAACAAATATTAGGTTTTTTTCCCTTTTAACATTGCTCAATAAGTAACAGGCTAAATCCTGTTTCGTGCCTGACTCCCAGGAGCAGAGGGCATTACCCAAGGAGGAAAGCAGAGCATTAGCCAGTTCACCCTGTGTTACTGACTCAGCAGTCAACAGCAGCTTCCCACTCAGTGCCAGGAATGCTTTCCTGCCCCAGGCCCTGAGGTTTTAAAGGTTATTTTAGAGGAATCAGATGGGCATGAGTACCTCTGAGGGGGGGATGCCTCCTCAGCTGTGTTCTACCACGATCAGCATCTTTGCTCCATGTCAAACCAGCACTGCAGAAGGGCCTGAAGGGCTGAAAGACCTCACTTATGTGTG